ACATGACTAACTACGACTGTGCACTTCATAGTGACTAAATCAAGGAAAAGTCAGAAAGTCTCATATAGAGAGAAGACAGAAAACAGAATTAGGAAGAAACACATTTTGAGTTTTTTTTCCATTCCTTCACTTTGTAAAGATTACAAGCGTATATATAGGACAAGCTATACCTCATCATACAGTAGTGTAGCTGAGTTGTAGCTCAACATTTCTTACTCTTAACAGCCTAACAAAATTACTAACTAACTTCTATAATCTTGCTATGTGTTATGAGCCTCCCTCAAACTGATGGGGAAGCATAAACCATGAGTTTGTCTCTGAATGTGATGAAGTTAGCAGTAGAAAGACCCTTGGTGAATACATCTACAATTTGATCCTATGTGGAGACATAATGAACTGATAAATCTTTGTGTACCACCTTTTCTCAAATGTAATGAAAATCAATAGCAATATGCTTGGACCTAGCATGAAACACAGGATTTGAAGTCAAGTCCATGGCAAATATATTGCCACACCAAAGCTTAGGAACTGTGGGAAGATAAACATGGAGATCACAGAGCAAAATTCGTAACCAAGATAATTTTGCAGTAGTGGTAGCCAAGGACCTATATTATGCTTCAGTAAAGGACCTAGCCACTGTGGATTGTTTCTTGGTAGCCCAATGAATAGGATTGTTACCCAAATATACTATAAAGCCAGTTGTTGATCTTTTATCCAATGGATCCCCAGCCTAATTAGCATCTGCATATGCTGTAAGAGAAGGATTGCTATTTACATAAGTAAGACCATAGGATAAAGTGCCTTGAAGATATCTAAGAATCCTCTTGACTGCTGCATAGTGAGCATGAATTGACAAACATGATTGACAACAAACTAAATGTCTGGTCTGGTAAAAGTTAAGTACTGAAGTGCTCCCACAACACTTCTATAAATTGTAGGATCAGGAAGCAATGTACCATATGTTTTGCTGAGTCTTGTAGCATAAACACACGGAGTTTTACAGCTCTTGCAAGTGGACATATTTGTCTTGTGAAGAAGATCTTCAGTATACTTCTCTTGACTAATAAACAATCCAGTAGATGTGTGTTTAATCTCCAATCCAAGAAAGAAATGTAGAGGACCTAAGTCCTTTATTTCAAACTCTGTATGCAGGTGGGAAACAAGATTATGGATGTATGAAGGATCATTCCTAGTAAGAATGATGTAATCTACATAAAGAAGCAGTAATGTAAGCGATGATCCATTCTTTCTAACAAACAGAGAAGGATCTGCTGCTGAAGCATGGAAGTCACAGGTGTAGACATAAATTGATTTGTGTAATTTGAAAACATAATGAGGTGTTGTTTGATCAAGAAAACCAGGAGGTTGAGCCATGTACACATCTACTTTTAAAATTCCAGGCAAAAAAACATCCAGTTGTTGTAGTTTCCAGCCATATGTAGCAACCAAAGACAAAATAACCCTGACTGTGGAATGCTTAACTACAGGACTAAAAGTCTCACCATAGTCAATTCCTGGTTCTTAGTGGTAACCTTTAGCCATTAGTCTGGCTTTGTATCTTGCAATTAAGCCATTTGCATTATACTTTATTCTATGAACTCATTTAGGACCTATAAGATTCTAATTAGGAGAGGGGGGGAACCAAGGACCAAGTGCCCAGTTGATACATGGCAAAAAATTCTTCAGACCTGGCTTTTCTACATTCTGGAGATTCGGCAGCAATTGTATAAGAGGTTGGTTCAGTCATAGGAGCAATAGCAAGGAAGACTTTCTTCTTGGAAATATCATGCTTGGATCTAGTTTGCATGGGATGAGTATTAACTATGGGAGGGTTTACAGGTGGGGGTAATAGTGGAGCAGGTGGAACCGAAGAGGGCATAGGGTCTAAAGATGATAAACACTCAGTGGATGTAGAAGGCTGAGTAGTAATAGGTGTATGATTTGGTGAAGAAGAAGGGGGAGAAGATGTTGAGGGTTGAGGATAAAAATAAAGAGGAGCAGAACACAAAACTGAAGATGTGTAAGATGGAGGGGAAGAAGAGGATGAAATATCAAATGGAAATGTTGTTTCATCAAATAGGACATGCCTAGAGATGTACATCCTCTGTGTAGGAATATGATAACAAAAGTAACCTTTATAATCTGTTGTATATCCAAGGAAAACACAAAGCTTAGATTTAGGCTAGAGTTTATGAGAATTATAAGGTCTAAGCAAAGGATAACAGGAGCAGCCAAAAACCTTGAGAAACTGGTAATCAGGTTTGGTCCCAAAAAGAAGTTCAAAAATGGATTTATTTGAAGTGTTTGAACTGGGAAGTCCATTAATAAGATAGACTGCTGTGGAAAAAGCATGAACCCAAAATTTGAGTGGGACTGAGGCCCTAGACATGAGAGAAACAACAGTTTCGACTATATGCCTGTGTTTCCTCTCAGGAACTCCATTCTACTAAGGTGTGTGAGGACAAGATTTTTTATGAGAAATACCAGATTGTTGCAAAAAGAACACTTCAAAGGATGACTGACAAACTCACCACCTCCATCAGATCTGATAATCTTGATTTTATGATTGAGTAAATTTTCAATATAAGGCTTGAATTGATAAATAACCTAATAAACATTAGATTTTTAAGCAATAAGATACAACCAAGTAAATTTGGAGTAATTGTCTATGAAAGAAATATAGTAACTATAGCCATTATAAGAAAGTGAATAGCAAGACCCCATGAATCTGTATGCATTAATTCCAAAGGGAAAAGTGAAACTGTGTGTGAAACAGGAAATGGCAGCTTAGACATTTTTCCAATAGTGCAATGTTCACGAGTATGGGACTTATTTGAAGTAGACAAAACTTGTTGAATTATAGAAGGAGATGGATGTCCTAGTCTATCATGCTAAAGTGGATGTTGAACACGACTGCCCAGATTTGCAGTTATTGAGGAAGACTGTGGTAAAGCTTGGATGGGATATAAGCCATTAGTACTCTTTCCTTTGTATAGAAGAGTGCCCGTGGCCTTGTCCTGAATAAAGAATTCATGTTCATCAAGGTGATTTGACAATTGTTACAGTTTATGGACAAAAATTAAGTTGGTTGAAAGTGAAGGTACATGAAGTACATGACTTAAATTGAAAGTGTGTGAAGATGTGGGAAGAGTAGATTGACCTGTGTGAGAGATAGGTAACCCCTGGCCATTACCAATTGTGAACAAATCCTCGCCAACATAATCTGTAGGAAATGATAAATTGTCAAAGTCTGAAGTAAGATGATTTGTTGCTCCAGAATCTGTGAGCCAGACATTTGGATTTGAGCTAGAAGAATTAGAAAAAGTTGCCATAGAAGTAAGATTTGGAGATGGACGACTGCCATGATAACCAAAGTTTATGCGATGATAGCAGTCAGAAACCACATGACCTACTTTATTGCAAATCTGATAGATAGGTCTAGACTGATTTCTGGAGGAGTTTGACTAAGTATAACTGCCTGTGTTATGTTTGTCAAAATTGCCAGTTGAACCATTGAATTGAGAATCAAAACCATAGTTTTGATTGTTTGATCTGCAGCGACCACCACCACGATTATTAGATCAACGATGTCTTGGATTATTCGAATGTCTGCCTCTATTTGATGAGAAGTTTTTATTTAATGAGAAATTGTTATTTTTCTCTTGTGTAGCTGCCATAGCCAAGGGAGTCAGTGTGGTTTGATGCATAGCTTCAATAGAATGTTCTTCTGCTCTTAGGAGAACATGAAGATCTTCAAGAGAAAGAGGTTGTTCACGTGTTGTGATAGAAGTACAAAAGGCATTATATTCAATAAAAAATCCATTAAGAGTGTAGATTAACATGTCTTCATCTTCAATAAGCACAGAGGTAGTTGCAAATTTGTCACGAAACTCTTTGAGCTTTTGCACATAAAGGTATATAGAATCTGAGCCTTTTTTTACTGTTTGCAGACTTGATTTGAGTTGAAGAATATTGGCTCTAGTAAGAGAAGAAAATATTCTTTCTAGTGCAATCCAAATATCATGAGAGGTTGTGTAGCCAATCACATGTGCAAGAGCAGCAGGTGAAAGCATTGCATTGAGCAATGTGATGAGGATCTGATCTTGAGTCAACCACACTTGATTCAGAGGTTTTCGATCTGTAGTTACAACACCTTAAGCATTGCGAAGAAATTGTTCTGGACAGGGAATTGATCCATCCACATAACCTATGAGAGAATGTACTCTCAGAATTGCAGACACCTGATATTTCCATAACACAAATTTGTGGAATCCATATGGATCAAAATCAGATTGCAAATGTTTGATAGAAGGAAAACTGGAGACTGTGACATTGAAGCAATCAACGAACCTGTTGAGCTAGGACTCGAAGAAGTCTGAGGAGTCGTAGAAGAAGAATCAGCCATTGAGATGTTAATCTCTTGTTAATGGTCTAATACCATGACAGAATCATGGAATAGTAAGGAAGTCTCGTATAGAGAGAAGACAGAAAACAGAATTAAGAAGAAACACATTTTGAGTTTTTTTCCATTCCTTCACTTTTTAAAGATTACTAGCGTATATATAGGACAAGCTATACCTCATCATACAGCAGTGTAGCTGAGTTGTAGCTCAGCATTTCTTACTCTTAACGGACTTAACAACCTAACAAAATTACTAACCAACTTCTATAATCTAGCTATGTGTTATGACATAGATCACAATTATTCGACTTTACACTTCGATTTTTGGCCAATTGGAGCCGTTGAAAAATGGCTTCTCTAGTTCGGATATGCACTTCATAATCCAACTTATGGGCCAAGAAACAGCAGAAAGTGCAATACTTGTGCCCCACTGCCCCCAATCAAGCCTTGCTGTGTCTGCAAACCTATTCAAAACTTCCACCATCAGCACTTGAAGAATAAGGATTATCCCAATGATCCCCCAAAACAGTTTTCTCTTTCTTATATCCTGAAATACATTCTTCTCAGCATTGAATATGGTGAATATTTGACAGAGAACCTAAGTATTGAGGATCATTGTGCCTTTTGCATTCGGATTGACATTGAAGATTGATTTTCCCTTGAAATGTATGGTCAGGAGGATGGCTATCTGATATAAAGCTTGAACCATTATGTTCCCCAGCATGATGTTGGTCATTAGAGGTGCATTCCTTCCCCGAGGTGGTCGGTTCACAAGCTCTTCAGCAGGCTGCTTAATAGTCACAGCTAGAGCAACCAATGTATCCATTATCAGCTTCACCCACATAAGTTGAAGAGTTGGATATGGGACTTTACCAACTGATAGCAATGCCATTGCATCAATATTCGAGGGTTCACCGGTTGAAATAGCCATCACAAAGTCGGTCACCAGAGCAACAAAACTAGCAATGAGTAGGAGCTGAATGTATATCTGCACACTTTCAAAAATCCCTCTTCCCCACCTCAAAATGTTGATTACAGATGCCAGATCTTCATGCTGGATGACAATATCCGAGCAGGCCTTGGCTATATCAGCCCCTTGAGTACCAAGACATAGTCCTACATCGGCCTCCCTCAATGCCTGCACATCTCTGATGCCACACCCAACAACTGCAACAACATGGCCCTTCTGTTTCAAGCATTGCACTATAAGCAATTTATCTTGGGGGCTGGCTCTGGCCATCACAGAGATGTTGAGAACTTTTTTCATTCTCTCCTCTTGAGTGTAGTTCTGAAATTCCACACCTTCTGCTACTTCTCCAGGCTTTTCATTTGCCCCAACTATACCACATTTCGTGGCTATAGCTCTGGCAGTTTGAATGTTGTTTTCTGTGATGATCCTGATGTTCACTCCAGCACGTCGGCAATCTTTCACAACATCTTCAACTCCATATCTAAGCGAGTTTTTTAGACCAACAAAGCTTAATAAGATCAGTTGTTGATCAGGACAACTATTTGGTGTTGGTGTTTCTCTATGTGCAAAAGCAATGCACCTGAGGCCAATCTTTGACATGTCTTCAAGTATTTGATCCAGCAACACCCTTTCATTTTGATTAATGACTTTGACAGTTCCTGTGGTTTCATAATAGTGAGAGCACAATGGTATTATCATCTTAGGATCTCCTTTCCGGTGCACGTGAATCACGTTATAGCCATTCTTGCAGATAAAAACCCTGTTTTGTCTATTCTCTGAGTTGAAGGGTTCAATATCAAGAATGGTATAACTTCTTCTCAATGAATCTATGTTCATTCCCGTTTGCCGAATGGCCCAATCGAAGATTGCTTTTTCAGTGGGATTCTGGGGAGATTGGAAGAAAGACCTTGAATGGGGCTGAGTTGCATTTAGACCAATTCCTCGGTGAAGCAATTCAATAACATTTGGTGCAATCAAATTGGCAAGAGGTTGTTCAATGTAGCTGAAACCCAGCCATAACTTATCTACCTGTTTCACAATGATATAAATATGGGGATATTAATAGAAGTGCTACTCTAATCTCACTTTAGTTTAGTCCTTTATTCTAATCCCACACAAATAAATAAAATTCATATACATATAATAACATTCAAAAACATAATCATCAAATAAATAACAGTACTCCGGCAAAATCATAGAGCAAAGAGCACCTCCCTCTCTCTCTCTCTCTCTCTCTCTCTCTCTCTCTCTCTCTCTCTCTCTCTCTCTCTCTCTCTCTCTCTCAACCCAAATATACCCACTTTCTCAATTCTCGCGGTGGAGCCCCCGAGTCAACTGGCCATTCTTCCATTCAAAAACAAGGTCTTATTGCCCGGCAAGAAGGTCACTAAAGCACGGCTTTAGGCCCCAACCAACAAAAAAATTTAGTTAAATAATTTGGGTCCACAAGTCTAGCCCAATTACACACAAAATTAAATTTGACAAAAAAATAAAAAGGTTGAAAAGGAACAAAAAATATTGTTCTTTAGACATCACTAGTCACTCTCTCTCTCTCTCTCACACATGTCATTTACCTATATATTTTTTCTTATGTAAAATTAAAACACAAATTAAACTATTTATTTTCACCATCTCTCCCTTTTAATCCTACTTTCTATTTTTTTTAATCTATTACGAATACAGTACTTTTTAAAAGTCCTTATGTAAAATTAAAACATAAATTAAACTATTTATTTTCATCATCTCTCCCTTTTAATCCTACTTTCTATTTTTTTTATTTATTACAAGTACAATACTTTTTAAAATAACTAAAGACATAAAACATTAATCTACTCGACAATAAGTAACTCGCAAAGACTATGATCATTCCAAGATGTTTAAACACTTTGATCTTTTGAATGGGAGGAGGCACAGTAGGCCTAACTTTAAGAGCGTACAGACCCTAATTAATTTTTAGTTCTTAGTTTAACTTCATATTCTGAGTTCATTTTGAATGGATCAAGTTGAAAGTCAAATGTATTTCACAATTCTAAGTAAAATCTTATAAAAAATCCTAAAATATAACAATATTTTTATATGTTTATGTAAAGTTTTATAGAAAGTTCTAAAATGTAACAAAACTTTCTAAAAAATATAAAAGTAATGACTTATAGCGTTATAATTAACATTGTTTCTCAAATTCCTTTCTCACTATTTTTCCTCCACTCTCACCACCTCTCTCCAAATCTTTATCTCCCTCTATTCTAATTGTATTTCTCTCTCTTTGTCCTTATCTCTAACTATTTTGTTCTCTCTTTAAGACTCTAATTAATTTATTCATATATAAGATCCCGACTTCCTAATTGCACTCAATTGATTGTCCGATCCTAAAACCACTAAAACATTAAAACTAAACTACACCGAAATTCTCTATAAAAATAATCATGAAAATTTTTATTATCTTTCTGAAATATTGATCAGGTTTCATGTGAAATTCTTATTTTAGGTCCCAATTTATATATGGCCGCCATTTTTGTCCGGGGTAATCATCGAATTTGCTGCCCCTCATCAAGCTAGGCCTTGGCAATGGGCCAGGCTAGCCTTTCCCAGGAATTTTCAAACCACAGCCTGCCCATTGGCTGGCCTTTGGGCTTTGACTAGTCAACAAGTTGGGCCAAGCCCGCCCATGAAAAGATCTAAGGCCCATGTCCTGCCCATGGGTGGGCCAATTGGGCCAAAAGGCGTGCTAAAAATGGGTCACACTTTTTTGGGCCATTATTTGGGCTTTTTTTAAAAAATATATTTTTTAATTCTAAACATAAATTCATAAAATTGGATATGAAAAAATAAATTAACAAAAAAACTATTCATATTCATCAAGAGTTAAAATGTTACCTTGATTGATAGTTGAGATTATTTTACATCACTAAAAATTCAGTACATTCCAACTAAGTTGACATCTCTCAAACATTTAAAAGTTATAGATCAAATATCAAATCAACAAAATAAATATGAAATATAATTTAATTGGTTGGTCTAACGGATCAGCCAATCAAGCTTCTTAACGAGCTAGCCCATTAGGTCCTCGGCAAAAAAATAAGAGGCTTAGAGAGGTCGATACCTCTCAAAAAATTTAATAAGATAAAAATACACTTTTTAAAATAATTGGGATAGAAGTACATATACTAATAAAAAGTCATAAAAGCCCTTTTACCCCTACCATAAATAGGGCATACCTAATTAAAAGTGAGACTTTCAAGATTTAAATGTTAAACTTTTACGATTCCTTTTGATATTTGTGTATTATTTGAATTTTGAAATTATATATATATATACACACACAAGAGTAATATATATGAAACAGTAACATGCTCAACAAAAAAATAATAACATCAAATAGTGACATGCTCAACAAAAAAAGAGTAACATCAAACAGTAACACACTCAACAAAATTTGTACTTATTGACAGCTATTTGATGAAAAAGAGAACTTAAAGAAGGATAAGTTTAGAAGTGATACTTAAAACCAAATAAATTTTGAAAAAGATACTCAATTTCTATTAACTCATAAAATAAAACATAAGCCCTACCTGCCGGACTAGCTGGCTATCTGCGGCTTGTCATACGCACGGGCCAGGTGGCCTGTTAGCCCGTTGGGCTGCCAGACTTTGGATGGCCCATTGGGTTTTGGACTTTTCGCTGAGCCAACACCTAGCAGGTGTTTTTCTTTGTACTTTCCCACAGTTTGGGTGCTCTAATAAATTTCTCAGTTTTTAGGGAAAACATAATTTTTCTGCCATAAGGCACGCTGTTTGCAAAACATTTTTGATTCCAGAGCTGCTCCAAAAAAAAAATGGGCTAATTTCAATTTAGATCCGGAAAGATCACTCAAATCTCAATTTATACCTTCAAAGTTTAAAAATATCAATTTACACTCTAAAAAATATAAATTTGTATCAATGTGCATCTGGAGTTAACTCTGTTCATTTTTTCGTTAAAAAAGTTTGGGTTAATTATAAATTATACCCACCAAATTTAAATATTTCATATTTATGATCCAAAAAGAATTTCTTCTATTAATGCTCGTTAAATAATTCTCAATTGTATCGTATCATAACATTTTTATATCGTGTTCAAGTCAATAAAAATTATTTTTCAAAATTTATAAAATACTTATGACGGGACTTTAGGCGGCTCGACAAAAGTAAATGGACATGTAGGAAGTTACAGACACAATGCAAAAGGCGCCTAGGAAAAGCGCCAAAAAAAAGTTGTGACCATGAGAAGAGTGTGCACCTAGGGCGTAACATTAAAAGGGATGTGACAGCTCATTAATGACTCTTGCGTGTCTATAGCAAAGCCATTAATGAGTGTCTAAATCTTCGAAAGATGTGAAGATAGTCTTCATTACAAGGCATTAATGATCATTATGCCGATTTGAAGTCTTTGGTAAACCCAAGGGTGCTTGTTCCTGAGTAGTAAATACTCAAGCATAGGTGTCAAGCACCGAGTGGGGGTATTTAATGACCGAAGGATGGGCCGAAATGCTCAATTATTTCCAAGCAAAAGTTCACATGCCTAAGGAGACTAGTCATTAGATATTTGATGGAATGTCGCTCATGATGCTAGGATATGAGTGCAGACCATTAAATCCTGAAATGTGACTTAAGGGCATTGTCATCATTGCAAACCTATGTATAAATACCCTTAAAGAAGTTAGACCAAATAATGCAATTCGAATAAAAAAGTACATTGTGCTAATTATTTTTATGCCAATTGACTTGAGCTACTGACTTGAATTTCGGAGGGGATCACCCAAGTACACACCTCGCCTGTTTTTTCTAATCCTTTGTTTCAGGTTCAATGTCATTCAGGACCGTTCTGTGTATTGTTATCTCAACTAATTGCAGCAAATCACACATGTAACTTATTTTTTGTCGACAATATTCATTAAAATAACTATTTTTTATCTACAATTAGACACATCTTTTAATTGTCCGATCAAATTAAAGTTACATACAAATAACACAATTATAGACAAAAAATAGTTATTTAGCAAGTATTATAGACAAAAATTTGGTATTTTTTAATTTTTAAAAAATATTAAATAGTATTATATGAATTGTCATAAATGTGAAATATAAGATATAATACAGTTGACTCAACGCGAAAATTTTTTTTGTTAAAATTATTTTGTTATTAACTCGAACACGACACGAAAAATATTATAATACAATTGAGAGCTATTTTAACGAGCATTGATGGATGAAATTTTTTTTAGATCATAAATATGAAATATTTAAATTTTAAGAGGTGCAATTTATAATTAATTCAAACTTTTTTGATGTCAAAATAAATGGCAGTTAGTCTCAAGTGCACATTGATACATATTTAATCTTTTAGGATATAAATTAATATTTTTAAACTTTGAAGGTATAAATTGATATTCGAATAATCTTTCATAGTGCAAATTAAGATTATTTCAAATAAAAAAAACTACAATTTGAACGAATTATTAGGTTTCTTGATGGGCAGAAAACTTCCAGACCGATGTTTTTAGAACCTTCTATTGCCTTATCAAAACCGAGCAAAATATTTTAAAGCCTTCGACCGCTTAAAACTCATAAATCTATCATCCAAACTAATGGTCTAGTGATCAATTGTACCGGTTTAAGTTCCTCTCTGACTCTCGTGTGGTTATGAAGTAGAGTTTGATTCATAGGATTAATGCGATTTGTTGATTGACTTTGGCGCTGTTGCGGTGAAAGGTTGACCTTTCGGGCTCAAGTTAGACATTCTACAGTGGGTAAGCTCAGAGTCACGTGTAGGAGTTATTACCTAATGTTCATCCTTCCTTTTTTTTCCAAGCAAACAACTCGTAGAAATCCTGATAAATTTTTTATATTTGTGCTGAAAAAACCAGTGAGAAGAACGGAGAGTGGGGCAAATAAAGTGGTGGAATGCCTATAATTGGATGTTTACCCAGCACAAATACAAGAGGAAAGAATTGGGTCTTTTTAATGTTAAGGAATAGCCTCTTTTAATGTTAATAGATTTTTTCTGCTTCTAAATTTAGACACAAAGTCAAAGAAACGAGATGCAGTTTTTCAGATACGTGGCACGAAAACTAACATTATACCTCTTCGTAGTCAATCGTTAGACTGCCAGTAATGTTGGTGCATATGGTGGTAACCGATCCAATTGCATCACAGACTGAAGGTCTCCTCAGTACAACGTTATCATCGTTCAACATTCTCTTCATTGAATAAGCAAGAGTAATCTTGACAGCCAACAACAGACCTTCTGGAGCTGAGGTTGCTGCAACCATGGCTGGAGTAGCTACAATTCCCACTAAAGCTTTCAAAACATCAA